TGACATGTGTCCTGCCAGCGAGAAATTCCCCAGCCATGAGGAGATGGAGTTAAATGGCTCACCACAGCCGTGCTCTTTTTTCCCTTCTTAAGGCTTTCAAGTTGTTTTTAGCACCGCCTCTGTGCCTCCTCCATCGCTGGCTGTCTTCCTTGCTGCAGAGGAAGCAGAGCAGTGTACTGTCATCCACAGGCTTCAAGGGTGGCCATTCATTACAGGATCTATTGTACTTTTTGGCCAAATTTGCCATCTTTCACCCTCTGGGGGAAGCAGAGGGGATGCGTGGTGTCTGAAGGTGAAGGGTGGTTGCAAGGTGTCCCAGCCAGCACAGAGGGTGGTAAAAACAAATGGCTCTTGTGCCTCTGGAGTTGAGAGCTACATGAAGAACTTAATCCTCTTCTCCCCTTTCTGTTGGCAACTCTTAGCATCTAGATTGCCCAAATACTATGGATGAGGTTGTTCTTGGGTAGTCCTGGGCTGTGCTCAAACGATTCCTTCCCACAAGCAGCAGGGAGGGTGCAGGTTTCCTTGTGCTAACCTGGTTTTGCCTTCCTCCCACATTGCATTCTGCCTTCCCCTTGCTGTGATGCTGTAAACCAGATTCATGAAATGATCCAGAGTAAAAGCCACTACCCTTCTTCCCCAAAAGGGGCAGCATGGATCCAGAACAAATGGGTGGGAGTGAGGTGGGGAAAGAGGTTAACCAGAAGTGTCTTCAGGAAGCTCTACTGCAGGAGGAAACAGGAGGGACCACCATGCTGAGGGTGAAAGCTGGCTTGAGCAACGCTTGGGAATACAAAGCTTTGTGAGTGAGGCAATAGCAGGCTCTGTCTTGAATCAGCAGCTGAATTGAGAGCTATTTTTTTTCTGCTTTTCCCCAACAGCTTTTGAGGGAGTGGTTTTGATTCTGAAACAGCAAAAATCCTGCAGGATGCAGAGATGTGATGGTCCTCTTTGGGTGTTGGAGCAGTTGTGCATTGCACTCGCCCAGGCAGGCAGAGATCTTCATGCTCATCCTCTCTCTGTTTTCAGACGTGAGCTGTGCCAGTGGGGCGGTACCAGGATGGTGGGCAACGCTCATGCCCAGGCACCAAACGCCATGTTTGCAGTAGTGCCAGTATGGCCATTGGCACAGTGAGCCCCTCATCTTCTCTCTGGGCTTGCCAAGCAATGTCACTTTTGTGGTAGCAGCATCCCCAATCCTTGCTCCAGTGCTGGGAAGGAGCTCTCTGAAGCCCAGTTTGTATGAAGTTATATTCTGTAATCTTTGGCAAAGACAAGGGGCACAGGAGGGATGTAAATATGTTTGTGTTAAAGGGAGAGTGCTGTTTCCAGCTCATGGTAAGGGGATGTTCGATGAGGGACATCCTGAATGATGGAAGGGTTTGCTTATTCTTTCCGAAAGGGGAAAAAAAAAAACCCACCCCAACAAAAAACTACCTGTCAGATCTTGCTGCGATCTTTTAATTAATATACCAAGACTTGCTGTTAAGGTCAGGCACAAACAGGTTTATTAGCTAGGCCTGAAATTTTATCAACTGTTCAAAGTTAATTAAACTCCTCCTGCCTCCCACATTCAGCTGTTGCAGAAGGGCTGGGTCCTAAACTGCTCTAAATCAGCTTAACTCCATGGGCTTTATGCAGTTCCAGATCTGGTCCACTTAAACAATTTTCCCAGAAAATTACTGCTACCAAAAAAAGCAAAGATAAGGAGGAAAAACAAAACCAAAAAGGCAAGCAGAAGGTGTAAGCTGTGTTGATTGATTGAGGGAGAACAGTCAATGAAGCCACCCTCTCAGTTTCAGCTATAATCTGGAAATCCACACTTACCCCTCTTGCCAAGGTTAATGAGCTGTACTTGGTAAATTGAAAGGCCCAGCTATAAAGATACCACAGTATTCATCCACACTGGCTACGATACTGAATTTGGGCTTTTGAGTCTATGTTGGCCTGAGCTTAGTTATCTGCTTCCTGCTGCATTGAGAGTGAGTTTGGATGCTAACATTGCACACCCACTGTGCACAGGGATTGCCCTAGAAAACTGAAAAAAAACTCCCATTGGCCTGAAACTCCCCCCTCCATGGGCCCCAGTTCCCTGCCTTGTGCTCCTCTGTCCCTATGTGTGGCTGAAACAAGGGGTTGCCTGAAAACTCCCAAGACTGCCCCTCAGCAGGGCCAGGGAGACCTGAGGTTGCTCTGGCCCTGTTGGCTTCAGGCCATGTCCCAACCAAGACAGCACTGCAAGCCCACCTGCAGGAGCCATTTCAGCCCCACCTAGGCTTGTTTTTTCCCTTGACATCACTGACCTCATCAGTGGTGAGCCTTGGCACCCTTACCCATGTGCCCAGCTGGGTTTTCTGGATGCTCTTGCCCTTCTGGGATGTCCTCAAGCCCTGTAGGGTCTAGGTGAGACGTGTTCAGTGCTGGAGGCTTCACAGAGCCTGGGGCAGCCTGTAGGGATGGGGGTTGTTGGCTCTTTAGGGAGTTGGGTGGAAGAACTTGTGCGACGTCTGTAAAACTGACGTGAGGAAGCACAGAGCGTTTTCACCCAACCCGTGGACCGTTTCCTTGAAAACCTGCCTGTGTGGCTGGAGAGCATGAGGAATTGTCCTCCCCTGCAGGGGCTTGTAGAGGAGCTTGGGCATCTGCAGGCAGGACTGGGAAAGATGTGCTTTTTTGTTTTGTTTTTTTCAAAGGTGTGTATGACTCACTTAGAAGCCGTGCACTTCTGAAGGCTTCCGTGCTTCTCATCTCTGTCATCCCACACAGTACACACATCGCCTCAACCACGTGGGCTTTTTGGTTGGATCGACTTTCCCAGGGCTACCCAAGAGCTGAATCCCAGCTCCCTCCAGGTACTTTTGGCAGCTGACGGTGTGGGCACCTGCTCAAAGGCAGCAGGGTGGCTGCTGCTGTCAGGCTACATTGCCACCTGCTGGGGGGCACACAGCCCCTTGCTGAGGCAAGGGGTGTCCCCAGGCCAGCAACCCTGCCAGGGGCAAGCCTAGCTGCACTCCAGCACGTTTCCTCAGGTGCTTACTTTGGGCAGATCTGCTGCCTCCTGCTCCATTGGGTTTTGTCTTTGGATACTTCATAATGTTGTGACTTGTAACTCTTGGGGTTTAGATTTTCTTGTCCAGGTATTGGCCTTCAGTTAAGGTTTCTTTCCCAGATGCAGCTAAAGGGACGTGGAGGACATTTTGGCCAAAGGGCTCAGCCATTCTGAGGAAGATGGGAGAAACCTGTGTTGTTCTTCCCAACGTAAAAATAAATAAATAATTAAAATCTCTTGCAACAAATCAACTGTATGTGCTAGGACCTTGCTGGTCTGCAGCAGAACTTGTGGTCTCTTTGGGACCAGCCACATTCCCTTGGGTGTTACCATGAGAAAACCCCACTCAAATTTGGCCAAGGTTTTACACTGTGGTGGAAAAACATGAACAAAATGAAACAGGGGGAGGGGGAAAGCCAAGGTGGTGGTGCAGACAGATGGAAGTCAGATGAGATGCTGGAGAGAAGCGAGGTCTGGCTGGATAACTTGTGTAAATGAAGCCCTTGGCCAGCAGCTTCGTGCCCCACATGGCTGCTTCTCCCACAGCTGCTTTTGCGGTGGGATGCGGGACACAGCACCTTAATTCTCCACCTCACCCAGCTCCATGTCTGTCAGACGGGAACAATGTCCCTGTTGGAGGCAGGAGGTTGAGCTGGTTTGTGGAGGCCGAGTTGCTCTTCTTCTGTGCTTTTTCTCTACCAACACTACTCTGGGGTGGTTTCAAAGTGAAACCAGTGCGCATTCAAGTGACTGCAGTGGCAGTTCATAAACCAATTCATCAGATGAGCTGTGTGTCTGACTGCTAATATGCAGGAATGGGAAATGAAGTAAGCTGGGCAGATGCAACAGTAACATATCTGTCCCCTTGCACTGTCCCTATGTCATCTCTTTCATAGCCAAGGCTGCTGTCATCTCTTGAGAGCTGAAACCACAGGAGGCTCTTGGGGGAGATGCACACCTACAGATGATGTTTGGTTATCAGAACTTGGGACATTTTTCATCTTGCTCATCATGCTGGTATACACAGGAGGCGAACACAAACTGAGCCAGATGGCAATGCATTAAAAATGTGGGTTTTACTTATTTCTTGAGAGTATAAAGAACTTTTTTTTTTTAAAAAAAACCCAGACCACCACTGTGGACAAACATAACCATCAGCAAGAACTAAGTATTAAATGTCTACACTTCTGATAAAGTCCCTCTCGGGTAACTTGTTGAAACAGGAGCAGTTGTGTGTTTCAGGTCTTCGTCTTGCTCCCGCTCCCTCCACTTGGCACAAAGATGGGTGGAAGCAGGCAGCACCACACCCCTGTATGAGAAACGAAGGGCAACCAGAGAAACTCTGCACTATGCTTCTTTCCCATCCCAATTTGCTGGACCCCCTCCCTGAAAAGCTTTACCACAAACCTTAATAGAAATGGTAACTGTAGAAAACCAGGCTGTATAGGACCTCAAGCAACCTAATTTATGCTTGTGCTGGAGGGCAGGATCACCTTTACCCATACCATTCCTGATAGTCTGGTCTTCAAGCCTCTGGTGCTGGACAGTAACAGCCTCCCCAAGGCAGCCTGTTCCTCATAGAATCGTTTAGGTTGGAAAAGACCTTTAAGATCATCAAGTCCAACCGTCCTTCCACTGGGCAGGAGGGTGCTTTTTGAGGAGGATCCACATCCTTTTTCTGGTGGCCAGTGCTGCACAGTTGTATTTTAGTGCAATTAAGACTAACCTGAGGGACTGTGGTCTCTAATGGAAGCCACAGCAGGGAGGATGCAGCCTTGGACGGAGACAGCACTTCTGCAGTCTGTCCTAGGAGGATGTCCTAGGAGAAAAGCACAGGACTAGCCTTGATGGACTGGAGACAGGGAAACCCTAACACTCAGGGTGGGCGGGAGGCCCATAAGCTTCCAGGAGCCACCAGAGCAGCTGTTGGGCTATATCTTGATCTCTTCACACATGAATCCTGGTCACAAAGTGGGGGGTAAAAATAACCCAAAGCTTGTTTTGTTTCAGCATTTTTATTAAACAGTGCTCCACTCAGCAGCTGTACACCAGGCCCTGATGATCCCCTGATCAGTGTTCAAACCCTGGGACATGATGCTGCCGTGATACCAGGTTGCACGAACCACCTGCTTTACAGAAGCAGAGCTCAGGAGAAACACAGGCTCAGGGCAGTGCCCCTACGCTGCCATCAGCACCAGCCAGGCTGGGAGGTAACTTACAGCAGGCCTCACCGTACTACAGGATCCCACCCCCAAACTGCTCGATTAGCCAAATCCTGCTCTCAAGGCCGCAGTTGTTCCTCTCCAGTCACCTCCCTGTGTTGCTTAGGCTGAATGACAGGGGATGACCACTGCTGAGTCTGCATGAGCTCGAGGCTTCTGACAGAGATGCCCAGCCCAAAGCAGATGAGCGTCTCTGCACTTCAGGCTGTCTTTTGATGAACTTTCAGAAACATGTGATGGCAGCAGGACGCTGGGCTGTGAGGAAACAGGCGGCCTTCCAGGAATGGTCTCTACTCTTTGCTGGAGGAGTCATCCAGGAGCTTAAGGGTCTGCCTATGCCGCTGTGGATAGGCTGCCCTGTGATCGGGCACATGTGAGCTAAGCTGTGTTTGTGTGCCAGGTTTGGTCATCCTGCTTCACTACTGCTGGTGCAGGAGTGTGCTGGCTTGGAGGTTGCCCATGCTGCCCTGCAGCTGCTCGTCTGCTCTTAGGTGGCCTGAGGCACTCAGCAATTGGGCCCTTAAAAGACCGAACCCCACGTCCACTCTCATGCAGGCTGAGGAGCTGCCCTCAAATGGCACAAAGTGGTACAGCTGCAGCAGTAACTTTCACTGCGCTCAGTGTTTAGCTCATGCTCAGTGCTAAGAAAGTGGTTTCCAGGGTCAGCTCCCTAATGTTGCAAATTAGTGTAGCATCAGCTAAGGATGGAAAAGCAGATTACTCCTTGCAAGTATCTGGTCTGCTTGACAGGCTTTAACGTAGGGCAGATCTTCCAGTTGGGTAGATGTGTGGTTGCATATCAAACTACGACAAGCAGTAACAAGGCAAACAAGTGACTCAAAGTATCCAGGTTCAGGAAAACTTATAAAACAAAGCAAGTAAACAACATCTATACAGGTAACAGGTTAAACACTGACAGAACTCAGTGGAATACATTTCTTTTCCCATGCTGCTGCTGGTGGGCCTGGCACCACCAAACATCTATAATATTCATACACAATTTTAAATAAAGACTGCAAAATAAACTTCCAAAGCTAAACAGAAGAGACCGCACCAGCAAGCATGCTTAGCTCAGATGATTAGATTGGAGTTTTTCATCAGATGAGCAATGGACTTTTGCAAGCTTTAGCATAAGATGGCAAATAAGCATAAAAGCTAGTGGATTAGTGTCTGTCACTGGAAAAAATGCATAAAAGAGCTACACCTAGCCTTTGCCTTGAAAGCAGACAGGTGGAAATCCAGGACAAGGCTTTGGCATGTCAGTTCCAGCTGTGCCACTTGCAATCTGACATTAAAAAAAACCAATATAAGGACTCCACAATCCATCACATTCGCATCATGTGGAGCAGCCCAGCTACTAAACTGCCTACTCCCTGGGTGCTCAGAAAGAAAACACTTAAAAGCAACTTGCAGGGCAGTAGTCTCAGTTTTTCACCTTTTGTTTTCCAAAGGCAACAAAATTCCTGTGACTATTTGTCAGCACAAAAAAAAAAAAAGGCCAAGTTACATTAAATAGAAAACTTTCTCCCAGGAAATGGGATACAGAAAATAGCAAAACTCTATAGCCAACAAAATACTGTACATTTTCTCCCTGCTCCCCCCTGCAGCCCTGCGTTTTTTAAGAGACACCAGCAAAATCTGCATTCTGTCTTTTAAATTGAAACAATGCAACAAGATGACTAGAAATATTAGAGAACTCAGCGTGCCCTCAGGAGGATGGATTTACGTTCAGTTAGGTGAATAATGATGAGTTTGGAAGAAGGAGGGAGCAGCTTCAAACTGCTTTTCCAAGTGCAGAAGGATTCAGGCAGGACACTGCCAAGCTCAAATTCAGAGTTCAAATGCGGGGAACTTGGCCTTGGTTGGCACCAGCAGGTCAGCAAGAAAGTAAATCGTTCCAGCCATTCCTGAGGAGAAGAAAACACAATGTGCTTCAGAGAGCTTCCCTTTGGGCACCCATTTTATCAATTATCTAGGGGGTGAATGAATCACGAAGGCACAAGACTAAGGAAAACATTTTCAGAAGGACCCAAATAATTTCCAAGGTCTGAACCCAGGTTTCCCAACCAACTTGGGCACTCCAGTGGGAAAAGCATTTTGAAGTTCATCAAATGTTGAAAAGCACCTGGGAAAACATGATGGGTCTTCCCCCCTCCAGCTCCCTCCCTTCTGCTTTATCTGTCCACAGGTTTAACAATCTGAATTGCAAATCTCTTTGCAAAACTTTAGACCCTGTGACATTGCTGCCTCAGGTCCTCACTGATGTAAGTGCCCTTGTTCCTTGGCCTGCAGCAAAGCTATGGAAATTTATGTTAGCTGAAGAACCAGCTCTTTCAGCAATGCCTGCTGATGGCAGATTTTGGGGCAGCCATTAGCAGGAGCCACAAAGTGCCATCATAGGAGCCAACAAGGCTTGCAAAAGCAGCCCCATTTGTTCCTCACTCACCTTTGGAATGGAACTGGAAAGCCCCTGAAGGACTTTATATCCTTAAAAATGCACAGAAAAGAGACTGTCTGAGAAGCTAGACTACAAATTACTGTAAGATAGATTTTGGCCTGTACCCATTAAAGAATTCCCCTTGAGACCTGTGTGCAGAATCTGTGCAGGAGGCCCAAGAGGACAAGATGCTCCAGCTAAGACTGTGCTATAACAAGACTGCTGCTGGGAAATGGTAAAAACAGCAAATACAATTTCCCTCCCATCCTCTACACTGAGTCTTGCAAAGACTTCAGTGGAGTGTGAATTTGGTTTTCCTTGGTGCTGGACTGGCTCAGATCCAGGAGCAAACCAGAAGCATAGAGATGGAGGTTACCTTCAAAGAGAGAGAATGGCGTGTCTGGGGTCCGGCACCCATGTTGACCATAGCTTAAACACCACTCTGCAAACTGAGAAGAGAGGAACAAAAAGTGTTCAAATGTCGTTAAAGGCAATCTTAAAAAAATTACCACCCTCATCCTCACATTATCCCTTGCAGAGCAAGGTTTCTGCAGTATGTTCCTTCTGCACAGGCTGTCAGGCAGTGACTGCGCTGCTGCTCCACTGGTCTGGTGGAGCTGGTCAGATCTAGTTGCATCTCTGCCACACTAGTAATTAGGCTTCAAAGGCAAAGGTGGTGACGTAAAAAGTAGAAGTGCATAATCCCCTCTCCCTTCCTTACACAGTCTCTCACCTTGCAGGCCCTGTACAGGTATTTCATGTTCTGAGTGAGGCTGTACAGTACTAGGAAGCCATAAGCATTGCCAGCTGTCCCGTGGCACAGCCCGTAGCCCTTCTTCAGTAACCCATGCTGCCAGATCACTTCTGCACACTGCAGGGCATCATTTAGGTACTGCTGTTCCCCAAAGACCTGCAGAGACAAGAAATATTCCCGCTTGCCGAGGCAATTTCCTCCACACAAAGAACATCCCTGTGTGAGTGGGGAGGCTTGGGTTAATTAGTTTCTCTTCCTACTGAAGTCTTAATGCTGTGACTTTGCTGCCTACTTTTTAAAGGAGGATGTTTTTGGTATGATGAATGGGGCTGTATGACCATTACTTTGCACACAGCTAGTTGTCGCCATCAGTCACCTGCAACCGGACACCCCACAGAGCTGATGGGTATTTTCAGAAATTGTTTTTTAAAAGACTAATTTCTGTTTTGGTCAGCGATCTCTGCGGGGTGATTTCATTGTAACAAGCCATCCTACTCTCAGGCGGGGCGTGGGTCTCAACACAGTCTTCTGAGTGACGAAGTTCCACATTTAGGGGTCCTCAAAGGGTCTTTGCAAGATTTCTGTTACCTTGTAGGCCTGGACAAGCATGTAGATAACACCTGGTGCCCCATGGCACCAGTGGACGAGTAGGTCTCTGGTGTCATCAATGCATGGAGGGTAATTGCCAGATGGGAACTTGAGCTGGCAGACGTAGTCCACACTGGGTTTGACCGTGTTGTGCAGCTTTACTTGGCTCACTCCAAGGCCAGGCTAAGAGAGAGAAAGCGTTAAATTCGGAGAATTACCATTCTGTCTTTAGACATGGCCCAAGATCTGCCTGAAAGGCAGAAACAAAGCCAACTATGGCCATATTCCCTCTTGCTCTTTGTAAATCAAGTAATTTCTTTGGTCCAGGCTTTCACACATCACACATATACACTTTGCCCCAGGCTGCTCTGCCCTTCGGTGGGGACTTATTTCCAGTCATACCCTTGCATCCCCAGAAACAAAGGCTGCCCCTAGCATGTCAACCAGCCCTCTAAGCAAGAGGGCTTGCTGCTTTTCCTGAAGATGAGTAGGAATAGTTTCAGGTACCCAGAGCTGGAGCAAAGAGATAAGCTGTATAAAAACAGTAGTAAGGATGAACACCAGGAATGATTCCTAGCACCTAGAGCATCTCAGGTCTGAGCTGCTGGGCCAGCCCAGCTGGCGGGCTGTGGTGCTGCATTTTCACAGATGTTTCTGGGTAATTGCAAGGGGGTGACTTCACCTCTGACCTCAGACAGAAGCAAGGGAGTGGCTTCAGTGTCCTCTTCCAATGACACTGCCCCACATGAAACCCATGCAGTTCTGACTTCCCATGACAGACTGCAATGAACGCTCTGATCTAAGGATCACGCTGTTCCCAGCTTGGTAACTTGAAAATTAAAAATCAATACTTGCGCTGTAAACCCATTAGAGGTAAAAGTCCAATGTTCTCCTCTCCACATTTCCCTTGTTTGCTTCCCCCAAGGCTTTTTGTGCATCATGCTTGGCTGATCCAGGCTCCTTGTACTTCATATGGCAGAGAAGCCCATGCAGCATTTTATGGGAGACTTGCACTTAAAATTCTTTAAAACATCAGCCTGGGAACAAGCTCAGGGACTTGGGTGTAAATTTGGGCTCACAGCACACTGCTGTATCCCCTGCTCCCAACTAGCCATTCTGTACTCCTGGGCAATAACCACTTTGCATCCTCCTCTTGCCAAATCTCCTTCTGCTTAAAAAACACCAACCACCCCTTCCTCTCCAAGTCACGTAAGAGGGTTATATTCACAGGAACTCTGCTTATCCTGTATGTGGGCTTGAACTTTGAGGCTGCTGAAGGAAAGCTCAAATACTTGAAACCTGGTGGCTTTTTTTCCACCTGCTGTGAGAGCTGGGTCTCATTAAAGATATCACCAATTTCTATGAACGTTTGCTAAGTTAAAATAATTTGTGTTGCTCAGTAGGTGCCTTTAATGCTTTGAAAATGCAATGTTATTTGTTGCTGTTATATTTCTAAGAGCTTAAGCACTGTAAATTTATACACAAAGTGACCCACATAGGGGAATTATCACCCTCATTTCAGAGCCAGAGAAGCGAAGATTCCCAGAGCTCCAGTGAGTTGTGCAAAACTGTGAGAAAGACAGCATCAAAGCAAAGAGGCACTGCAGCTACCAGCCTCTTGTCTTGCCCTGCCTACTTCAGGCACTATAGAATTCAGCTGCTTTATCAAAGTCCCACTTCTTTAACATTTAGATATAGGGCCCAATTTGGAAACAGAGGCATTTCCCATTTTCCTACTACAAACGCAATCTCTTTGGCCATGGTTTTCTTACAGAGATTCTCATTCTGAGATTGCTCCAAGTAACCACCTCAAAAAATGCAGGAAAGCCCACAGATACCAACAATTAACACAAAATGGGGAAGTTCAGACCCAGGTGACCTACAGGGCTTCATTATGTGAAATTGCTGGTATAATACAGGCCATGTTTCCCCACTAAATGCCACACAGGTAGGAAATTCAATCTCACAGATCTAGAGAAAACCTTTAGAAGCAGGGATGTGTGATCAAACCCAGGGCTAAGTCCATCAGACAAGAGATCTTGCCCAGTCTGACATCACCAAGAGCCAATTCAAATGCTCCTCCTCATTCAAAGAAATGTGAAGCAGCTGCTAAAGGCTCCTCCCCTTCAGGGCCTCTTACCTGCATGAGATAATAGTAAATCCCAGCCAAACCATGGGCTGCCCCTACATAGTACTCCTGGTACCACTCATACATCAGTGGGCTCTTGGATGTGAAGTTCCTCCTTTTGGCCAAATTTTCTCCTGAGGCTACAACGGCTTCACAGACCTGTGGATGGGAACAGATGCAGGTCAGGGAAATGCTGCTGTCTTGGACACAGCACAATGAGTATCCTGGCACAGGATGGAAGAGTTGTTTTTCTGCCCAAACAGAGGGAATAGTGTGGGTGAGGGATTGAAATGTGTGCCAATTCAGTACTGCCTATGGATTTATATAGATGGTAGGGGCACATGTGGTGCTTTGTCCCTTTGAAAGAAGAGCAG